CAGCACCGCAATTCAAATGCACTGGTTCTTTTTCAGTCTTTCTTAATCAGTGTCTAACTTTCACATGCATGTGAGATGATGGAAAATACCCTGGCTTGGGTCAGGTGCACCTAAGCTGGCACAGTAACATCCTTGCTTTTCAACACTCTGAAGCGGTCTTGTGCAGCAGATTTTCTAGACTCAGTCTTTGCATATTCCAGGTTCTGATTATTTGCTGATTTTTACAGTTATTTCCCCTTACCTTGAGTCGTGCCCCATCAGCAAATGAAGATCCGTAAGGCTCCACTACCAAGGCTTTACTCTATTCCAGTCACCATGGTTGATTTCATTCCAACAAGGCAGCTCTTCCAAGGTCACACTGTGCCCCGAGGGGTCCATCCTATGGCACTATCTTCAATAATGTTCTGCTTCCATTCTTTGGGCCTTCAGCATATGGCAATGCTCCAAGTTTCAGTGGCTACTTCCTCAGAAGTGGGCAGCCCATGACTTCTTTGTCGTCTGTTCTCAGTCTGGAAGCTCCACTGAAACTTGTTCACTCTGGCTGACCCTACTGGCATTCAAAATACCAGTGACATGGCTTCCAGTGTCACAGCAATACAGAAGCCAACACAAGATGACAAACTGACAGACAAGTGGGAGAAGCAAATTGGAAGTAGTGAAGAATGAATGCATAAAGATTGATGTCCTAGCATTAGTGAGCTGAAAATGGACTGGTATTGTCCAATGGGAATTAGATAATTATAGTCTTCACGCTGAGGAAATAACAAATTGAGGAAAAATGGTGTCACATTCCTCATTACAAAGAATAGCTCAAGATTTGTCTTGAAGCGCAGTGACAGGATAATATTCTTATGTCTATAAGGAAGACAACTCACTACAACTATCATTCAAGTTTAGCCACCAATCACTAATGCTAAAGATGAAGAAATTTAAAGGTTTTACCAATGCCTACAGTCAAAATTGATTGAATGTGCAATCAGCATGCATGTATATTTACTGCCGTTTGCAATGCAAAAGTTGAAAACTAAAAAGGAAAAAAGAAATAAAAGCAAACTTGCTGCCATCCAGCTCATGACAATTCACAGCGACCCTATGCCAGAAGACAGTACAGAACTTCTGTGAGTTTCAAAGACTGTTAACTCTTAATGCAGGGGTTCTCAACCTTCCTAATGCTGTGACCCTTTAATACAGTGCCTCATGTTGTAGTGACCCCCAACCATAAAATTATTTTCATTGCTACTTCATAACTGTAATTTTGCTAGTTATGAATCAGGCGACCCCTGTGAAAGGGTCGTTCAACCCCCAGGGTGGCAACTGATGTCTTAATGGGAGTAGAAAGACTGGTCTTTCTCCTCTGAAATGGCTAGTGATTTGAACTGCTGACCTTGCAATCAGGAGTCCAAGGTGTAACAACTGTGCCACCAGGGCTCCTAAGGGCCAGCATTCCAGGTGGTATGATATGATCAAGAACTGATGCTACTGAAGGAAGAAGTCCAATCTACACTGAAGCTACTGACAAAATCAAAGACTCACTGTGATACAGTCATAGCATTTCTATGATGCAGTATTGAATTGCTCCATGGGATTTCCCACGTTGTAAGTCTTTCAGTGAAGCACACTGACTTCTATTTTTACATTGGAATGGCTGGTGGATTGAAACTGCCAAAATTAATTAGCAGCTTAATCCTTACCCACTGCATCAGCTGGGATTCTGGGCCAGAAACAAGGCTCCAGGAATTGATGGAACACCAAAGGAAATGCTTCAATAAACAGATGCAGCACTGGAAGTGCTCCTTCATTTGTGCCAAGAAATTTGGAAGATATCTGGCCAATCAACTGGAATAGATCTGTATTCATGCTCCTTTAAAAAGAGATAAAAGAGAACACTTATTATTTAACAACATCATTAATATCATTTGTAAGCACAATTTTGTTGAAGGTAATTTAAAAATTGTTGAAGCAGAACACTGACAGGGAGCTGCCAGAAACTTAAGTCAGGCTCAAATGAGGAGGAATGAGAGAAGTCATTGTTGCTATCAACTGAATCTTGTTTGGAAGCAGAGATGATCGGAAAGATGTTTATCTGTTTTTGCCCGTGTGGTTCATAACTATGAGAAACACTGCAATAAATGGGACTTCCAGACACTTAATTTTACTTATTAGGAACCTACACATGGGCCAGAGGCAATCATTTGAACAGAACAAAACAAAAAACTAAACTTATGGTCTTCAAGTCAATTCAGACTCACAGTGACCCTATAGGACAGAGTAAAATTGGCCCGGTGGGTTTCCAAGACAGTAAGTCTTTATCAGAGTAGAAAGCCTTGTGTTTCTCCTGCGGAACAGCTGGGGGGTTCAAACTGCTGACCTTTGTGGTTAGCAGTGCACGCATAACCCATTTTGCCACCAGGGCTCCTTGTTTGAAAGAACAAGAGTTTTTAGGAAGGGTGTGTGTTAGGGTTGTACATTTATTCATTCTGTATGTTGAGCAAAAAATCTGAGAAGCTGAACCATGTGAAACCATGGCACCAGGGTTGGAAGAGGCTCACTAACAATCTGCAACATGTGGATGGCCTTGTTTGCAGAAATTGAAGAGTACTGGAAGCACCAACTGATGAAGATTGAAGAGTACAACTGTCAGTATGGATTATGACTCAATGTGTAAATACCAAAATCCTCACTGGACCAATGTTATAAACAAAGGAATGAAGTTGTTGCAAATCCAAGGATTACTTGGATCAACATCAACATTCATGAGGCAGCAATCAAGAAATCAATGGTATAGGGGAAAAATGCTGTTGAGATAATGAGTAGACAATAATGAGTAGAGATACCAGGAGGATAAGCAGAAGGTGAGGAGAAAGGGGGAACTGATCACAAGGATCTACATATAACCCCCTCCCTGGGGGACAGACAACAGAAAAGTGAGTGAAGGGAGACATTGGACAGTGTAAGACATGAAATAATAATAATTTATAAATTATCAAGGGTTCGTCAGGGAGGGAGGGGAAAAATGTGGAGCTGATACCAAGGGCTCAAGTAGAAAGAAAATGTTTTGAGAATGATAATGGCAACAAATGTACATGACAATGGATGTATGTAAGGATTGTGATGAGTTGTACGAGCCCAATAAAATGATTTTTAAAAATGCTGTTGAAAACTAACTCAAGGCATAGTATTTCAATCACCTCATATGCATGTGAATGAAGGACAGTTAATAAAAAAGGCAAAGGGGCATGAATGCACTTGAATTATGGTGGTGAATATTATATATACTTTGGACTAACAGAAGAATGAACAAATCTGTCCTGATAGAAGTGTAGCCAGAACGATCCTTGGAAACAAGGATGGAGAGATGACATGTTATTAGGTGTGGTAGTTAAATAATCTTAAGCAAACTTGAGAATATTAAGAGTGAAAGGGTGGAGTCTAGCCTGTTAATCAGGTCACAGCTTGATGATGACTCCTTGGGGTCATGGCCTTCTCAAGAGGATTCTGGGAACTTCGTCTTTCTCCCTGGAGGTGAGCCACTCTCTCTGCTTACACATTCCAGTTGACAAGCCACATGCAGTCACAGTGATGGCAGCCAGAGCCCTGGAAATGCTTCAATTGCCATTGGATCCACAAGATGTTCCATCCACCTGCCTGTGATCTTCCTGCAGTCTACATCATTACATGTGGCTGCAGAGGAATTGATGACTAGTACTGGACTTAGGGGCTATTATCGAACTTGTGGTCTTGATCTGGACTAGGCTGGGATGTTTTCTCCATATACATTCGCTCTTTTATATAAAGTTCTCTTACACATGAAGTGTCCTGTGGATTTGTTTCTCTAGTCAACTGACACTAACACAGGTTACTATCCCTGGAATAGGATATCAGGCTTGGTAGAAGGTCAACAAAAAAGGCACACACTAGTCAAAGAGAGGGACTGAGAGAATGGGTGTAACAATAGGCCCAACCATAATTGTGAGGATGGCGCAGTACAGGGCAGCCCTTTGTGCTGTTAAGAACTGACTAGACATCACCTGATTCCACTACACCTAACAACAACAATGTAAGTACATATCTCAAAGGAAGTCTAAAATATTTCTTTACTCTTATATAACTTTAATATGACTTTATATACACTGAAACTCACTTCATGTTTCCTAACTACTAGAAAAATTGAACTTGTTTGCTCCCATAAAGACTTAGAGTCTTGAAAATTCTATTTGGAATTGTTCTGAGTTGAAATAAGACTCAACAGCAGCGTGGTTGGGTACAGACTAAGGAATCTCTAGTAGCACAGCAGCTTAATGTTTGTGTGGCTAACTGCAAGGCTGGGAGTTCAAATCCAACAAGTGCTGCTCAGGAGACTGATGAGGCTGCTTACTATCGTCAAAAACCACTGTCTCTGAAACCCTATGTAGCAGTTCTCCTCTGGCCTATATGGTTTTGACTTGATGGTAATAGGTTGGGTTAGGGTTAAAGATTTTCCAGCAGTTCACCCCTGTTTACTTAGTATTATTCACTTGAACAAGGTTAGTTTCATTTTTGTCTTTCACCACTTGGCTCATCATCTCCAAATAGAATTTCATTAAAGACGATACAGTGCAAGTCTAATTTTACAAACAAGAAAAGTGAAATAGAGGTTTCAGTAAATGAATGATCCAAGTTAGAGTCTCTCCTATTTTTTTTTTTTTTAAATCAACTGCTCTCAGGCATGTACTCTCCCAGGCCGTTTTTCCACTGTGGGAACGGTGTGCTAATATCAAGCCTAGCTTTCATCTCTTGTCAATTTCAAGTCCATCCGTTTTGCGGCAGAATACCAGCGCCCAGGGCTCCAAGAGCAACAACCAAACTATGCGGCTGGAGGAGAAAGGTCGCAAGAACTGCACAAATTCCCCGCTAGAATCCCAACCAAGCCCTCTGCTCCCGACAGCCGCTCATATTTCGGGGCCCGCGCCCGCGCCCGCCCTCAGCCCTTCCCGGACCCCGCAGCCGCCAGGCTGGGTCACCTGTAATTGTAGGCGGTGAAATGCTTGCTCTCTCTCAGCATGGCCCGGTAAAGATCTAACACTTGTGCGCGGCTGGAGGCTGCCATTTTGGAAATTAAAAAAAAAAAATAAATGGGTCCTTTCCACCGAGGTCCCTAACCCAACCCACAAAGTTTCAAACGATGCAAAAACAAACAAACAAACAATAAAAAAAAAATTCCCAGAAGCACCGGCAGCAAAGCGAAACCGGGTGCCGCCTGGCAGGCGGGGCTGAACCTCAAGCCCCGCGCCCCAGCATCCCGCGTCGCGGCTTTGCCTCGGAAGGAGCCCGGGACCCCGCGCGGAGAAGCGCGCAGGCAGCGCACGGGGCAGCTACAGCCGCTGGCGAGGCCCGGCCGGCCAGCCGGGTGCCGTGGGCCAGGTGGCCGGAGGGAGGAGCAGCCCGGCGACTGGGCCCTGCTGGGGTCGCCCTGCCCGTCCTTTCTTCGGGGACGGGGTCGCACTCTCGGGCTTC